GGAAAAAGTTTTGCAAGTAAATTTTCCAGATTATTTTCTCCGAAAATTTTTCTTCTTAGAAAACGCTGTGTTTTACAATGGCTCGTTTCTCGCCTGATCAGTTGCGGGTTTGCTAGGTTTGTTGAGATTCTGTGGATCTTCAAGAGGGAGCATCAAACGGTTTCAATCCACTACTTTAGAAAACAAAAATCAACACTCAGCAATACTGAGTGGGTGTATAACATCTTCTACTCGTTTCACTACCTTCACATGCGACAAAGCCGAATAAAACTGGCCTGCTGGAAAAGAACATTTTCTAAGTAGCTCAGCATTTGTTGGTTTCACCTTTACCAGCGTATTCACTTCCTTTAAAGAGTTTGGCTCTCGTGTTATTACAAGCACAAGCACAATAGGGAATGCGTATTCGACACTTCGTTAAATATTATTCGAGCATGCTTTGCGTACATCTGAATCACAAGTTTATGTAAGTATTAACGCGTTCTGTTTTATTACTATTTGGGATTCTCAAAAACATGTTCGAGCTCGTTGAACAACGCAAGCCGAACATGTTCCTTCTCGAATTCTCAATAGTAAATGGATTGGGTGAATAGTAAATGGATTGGGTGAAACGCGTTAAAAAGCATTCATAATCTTGTTGAATAGAAGTACGCAAATCGTGCTCGTGTTTTTTTGATCAGGAATGAACGACAGCTTAAATTTTGAGTTCTAGCTAAAAAGATCGGTTGCATTAAATCGGAAGAAGACTCAGTTCATGAAGAACGCCCTTTGCGAAGGTGCAGAAGTGAACTGGAAGGCACCTCTATCAAGGAGACGTCTTCTTACGTGTATCTCGGACATTAGATGAACATGGAGATTAACAGGAAAAGAAAAGCACGGACCGCCTTTGCGCCTCTAAGGAAACCACTGAGACGGACCCGAAGCTTCGAGCCCACCTTTCAACTCAATCGTTCATCCGGCCCTCTGCCGCTCTGAGGCTTGGCCTCACTGTAGGCACGTCGAAAGCTCCACACCACCACAAATAGCATCTTGTCGGACTTCGCTGTGCGGATATGAAAAAAATGTCCCGCGTCTTCGTGGCTCAGAATATGTTGCGAAAGTGGAGTATCGATGGGCCGGTCACATCGCGAGAAGAACAAACGACAGGTGCATATTAAGAACATCGGAGTGGATTCCCCTCGAAGCAAAACGACACTGAGGAAGACGTCCAATGAGATGGACACACGTGTTTGTGCTACGGATGGACCAGTGAGAAATTATCTGAATACTTTCGCACCTGGAACTCGTGGACGCAGCCACTGACGACAACAAAGAAGACTGTGGATGTCTGAAGTGAGAGACAGGGACCACTAGAAGCCTGTGTGGGCACGCATGACATGTGTAGACGAACCATCTATCGTAAGTATCTAAGTAAGTAGCTAGAAACTGCTCGATTCCATATTCTGATAAACTGCCACATGATGCAGTCACGCAGCATCTGCACACAATTTCAAAATCAAGAATGTCACTTTATTCGATGAAGGAGAGATGACAGACGCATGCGATTGTGTCGGTAGCATTGATGTAACCATGTAAATTGAACAAGCTTTTCTCAAGTTACAAAGAATAAGTTTGACCACAACCCATTATCATCACGCTCGGAATCAGGGTGATGTGAATGGTGATGTATATTTTGAAAGCAACATTCTCGCTGTACGCAAAATATGTAGCAGCACAACTGATATGAGACCTAAAAGTCAATCTTCTTTCCAGCTGGGAAATTAGAAGCACAAGACGGATAACATAGAAAGCGAAGTAAGAAAAGACAAAGAAAGCAGATGAAGCAAAAGCCACAGCTTATTTCAAGCTCGCATAGTCGCCTTCTCCATAACGATGAGCAAATCCATTGCATGTAACAGCGGCTAAAGTTTTTCGCGGTTATTTTATGGCTTCTAGCCAGAAATTTCTTGAAGTAATCTCCACGTATTATCATGATTGAACTTAGACACTTTCGTAAGTGTCGAATACCCATGCCGAGCAGGCTGTTAGATGGTACGTTATTCGTCAATCTGTGGATTGATTTTTTTACATTTTATTCTTTATCAGATGCCTGAATGGCCTAAAGTTTCATTTGCGACTCCCTATCAAACGTCTCCACTAGTCTCTGTAGTTCTCGGCTCTTTCTCCAGTTTAGTGGCATGACAAAAAACCACCAGATTTAGATATCCGTGCGGATGTAGATTGTCGTGAAGAGCGGTTATGAATAACACTCATTTTCGCTTCCATTTCTGATACTTTCTCGAAGGGGTTGTCTAATTTTTCACACACTTTCTAGATACATCAAGCTATTTGTGCAGGAAGTGAACTCAATGTCAGCAGCGGTACAAAATTATCAGGTCGTTTCTAAGTTCGTAGAGTTTTCATTCTCCCTCATACAGGGTGTCCCAAAAGTATGTATAGGCTGTATCACCCACCGTCTGTCGCGGGGATCCAAGGGATGAGGCTGCGCGCGCGCGTCGAATGCGTAGAAAATTTACTCGAGCGCGACTGATCGCACCAAAAGCATGCGCAGTTGTTCCTTCAGGCTGTTTTTCTCTTCGTTTCAGCTTTTCGCCGCGCCCTTCCTGTCCTTCTGCGTGCTTGCGTCAACTATGGCTCATTTTGGATGTTGAGGTGTCGCTCGAAGAAGCCCCAAACAGAAAACTCATTGAGAAATGCTATCATTTACTCTTGAACTATCAAAAGACTGGAAAACATGATGCGCACTTGTGAAAACAGATCAAAACATTCGCATCTTTTCATTTAGCGAGAACTAGCCACTTCACATGCCAACAACAAAAGTTTGAGCACGAAATCAACGTGTGCAATGCGTTTTTAAGCGGCCTAGCCTTAGAATGAGTTTTTGAATAGTTTCATATTGATTCTGAAGTGAGATTACACAGAAATACAATGATATCTTTTTCACCATGATAGGAAAGAAATTTCCTGAGTGATGGTCCATGCTGCGCTATCTTGAAGCACTGCAACATATAAAATACGCACGCACATGAATGAAAACTAATGTAGGAATGTAAAGCAAAGATAGATAAAGAAATATCAAAAGAAGCAGAGCCAGTTGATCCGTCCAAATCTGAATGCAGGCAAATATTGCGCGCGAGTACCAAATTCCTAAGTATGCGGCGCGCGCGCGGAGACTCATCCCGTGGTTCCTCGCGACCGATGGTGGGTGATATGGCCTATATACACTGTTTGATCGTTAATAACTCTCTTCCCAGAAAGTCTTTTGTCTTGCTTCAGATAATGTTTTGTAGAGCTGGCTTCAACTTAGATTTACAGTACGAAGCGAATCACCGAGCGCTCTTCGTTACTGTAGGATTACAGTATGAACTTTCGCATGGCCATTAGGAAATGGGCTTCTGATGAAAAAAAATTTCAAAAATCTGGAATTTCGTGTAGCGGGGTTTTTTGGGCGTGCTGATTCCACTACAGAACTTAACGAGCTTTTTCAATGGTGTTGCACTTCTGACAAACATCGGGAAAACAGATTTTAACTGAAACCTGGAATAATTTGTAAAAGAAGCATTACAATGGAATGCAAACGTATATTTAGAATTAGCAACTTCGACTAGTCCAGTACAAGAGTTCTTGGCTTTTTGGTTTTCATTCTGGGACAAAAATTGCTTTTAATTTTCAAAAATCCTTCGCAAAGTTCCTACCGTAATTGTATAGTAACGAAGAAAGCTCAATGATTTTCTCCATACAATAAATCTAAGTTGAAGCCAGCTCTACGAAACGGTACCTGAAGCAAGGCAAAAGACTGCTTGGGACGAGAGATATTAACGATCAAACAGTGTATACATACTTTTGGGACACCCTGTATTTTGAAAAGCAGTCGACTTGCGGCAAAATGCGCATATATTCAAGAAGAGCGGAGCATGCTCTTTTCGATAAACTTATCGCAGTTGATAGAAAGCTGATTTGCTTAAATTTTTTAGCTTCCAGATATGGAAATCTTGGGAGGCGAAAAGAGAGTTTTCGACACTTGCCCGTTGTTTTTGTATAAAAAGAAGTGTTTTTGCATAGATCTTTTGCCGCTTTTGAAGAATGGCGCGCACATGAATATCAGACCTGGGCACGTAGTAAAGCTCGTTCAGGGGAGATGATCTCCTCTGAGGCCCTCATATAAGGCTCCGTTAGGTGAAATGAGGACTGCCCACTTTTCCGTGCTGTAAGTATGCATGGTCACCTTACAGGTGAACTTTAGATGAAGCCCGGCAGAAAGATCAGCTCCCGACCGAGTCAAGATGAGCCGGGCCATGACATGAGGTAAATACCGTGCTAAAGAAGAGAGCACAGAGAAAACGCCTGTAGGTTGCTCCCGAGTAACTTACGAAACACGTCAGCTTGGCTAAAACCGCAGAGAGACTTAGCGCGAAAATGCACACTTTTTTACTACTGAGGATTTGCACGAAATTGGATCTTCAACTTCTTGTTTTTTATGCTGCTGTATTCTGCATCAGTGAGCGTTATGCGTTGGCAAGTACGTCCAAAAAAGGGAATACAAGATGCACTTGGTTTTTCTTCTTCGGCTTTGGCCATACTTTGCCCGTGTTGCCGATGTTTCCAGTGTTGCCAGTGTTGAAAGTGTTGCCGGTGTTGAAAGTGTTGAAAGTGTTGAAAGTATTGAAGGTGTTGCCGGTGTGAGAGTGTTTCTCATGTTACTCGTGTTTCTAGTGTTACCGCCTTAATTGCTGTTGATTTTTGAAATGATCGCCAGTACAGCTTCATTCTTGAACGTAGTCTCACTGAGTGGTGAGTGTACAGGATCTGAGGCGATCATACTTCAATAATAATACCATGCTATAAATTGCATCAAAAAAGTTTTTGTGACGAAAATATAACCATATTTTGTTCTTTCTTCTCGAGCCATACACTAGCCATACACAGCCAGCTTTACTATCATGCCAAAATTTATTGAAAGTCGCACTATTCTATCACAATTATATTGTTTGAAATGTAGCACAATGAGCTTTAACGTACTCGCCAACGTTTTGGACGCCTTGATCGAACTCCAAGAAACTTTGTCTTCGGACGTGTCATCATTTTCGCGGCCATATGTGAGAAGGGAGCACATTCCCTTCTTAGAGACAAGATTTCGACTTTTCGATGAATATCTCATAACAAGAAGGCCAATTGCATTCCTTGAATTCATCAGGCAAAAGCCTGATGAGTTCGAAGATTTATACGAACGAATTGGCAGCAGATTGGAACATCTCAGAACGCATGCTGGCCCAATTTCTGGCCGTCATCGTCTAATGATTTATTTAAGGTACTAGTCAACTTATAAAAATCATAAATGAATCCAGCCATGAATTTTTGCACAGATTTGTGGCACAGAGGATGTCTTTTCGAGCTTATGCTTTGGATCTGGGCATGGGAAAGAGTACAGTTTCCAATATTGTGAAGCAAGTTACAGAAGCTATCATCTGTGGTAGCTATAGATTAAATGAAAATCAAATAGAAAATAATCTATACTTTAGTGCTTCATAATCAGGCGTTTCCGCCTTTGACGCATGAAAAATTTGAAGATGTTGCCACTAAAACTCAAGAACGGTTCGATTATCCACGAGCCGTGGGGTTTATAGACGGCAAACATATTAATATTCAGGTTTTACGCCCTATCAAAGTTGTTGAAACACGTCCTGATGATCCACTTATTCAGAAACCTGCGCGTTCAGGCAGTGTGTTCTGGAATTATAAGCATTATTATTCTATAATACTGCTGGCGATCGCAGATGCCGATTATCGAATAATGGCTTATGACATTGGGGCCGCCGGTCGCGCTGGCGACGCGGGGGCATTCCGATTATCTAAGATCAAGGCATAATATTTTGAATAGAAAAGAAAACATGGGTTAGTAGCTTTAGGGGTTCTTGGAGCATCGTGATGACCTATTTCCGCCAACAACAGAACTTGCGGATGTGGGGGGTGTTCAGTATCATATACTAGTTGATGGCGGCTTTGGCCAACAAAATTACCGTTTTATAAGGCCCTATAGGCAAAGAGAGGCAGATTCTGCGGACAAAAGAATATTCAATACTAAACTTTCCGGGTAAAATTTTTTCTCAACTTGCATTCAAAGTCTCTTCATTATCATTGAAGTGCTCGACGTGTTATTGAGTCCACTTTTGGATTACTATCCCAAAGATTCCAAGTACTAATGACACGTATAGATCTGCAGCCAGACACAGTTCGTACGCTCGTCGTATCGTTAATGGTTAGTGTTCCGATTTAGTTTTTCTTGAAACGCTAGAGATCAAAAGAAAACTCTCGCAGATTCTCCATAATTTAATACCCATTCGGCGAAATAGTCTAGCAGGAGTGCAGAGTTTCAAGCCGCTTCAAATGGATATCACCCCCTCCAGGTAGAACCGCAAGAGATGGGTCCGGATCTAGCAAATATTGCAAGGGAACGAATAACAAGATATTATGCCCAAAGACATGAACATGCTCACTGACAGTAAAGATTGTCTCTTTAGGTAAATCACATTGATAATTACGCCTCATTCTGAATTCTGAGCTCCTTCCCTAACGTAAAAGTCAATATAATACATAGTTCATAGTCAGCAGATTTGAGCGGATGAGATAATGCTAGTATGTGTTGTGTTTTGTGTTGTTTGTTTTCTTGTTGTTATGTTGTTGTTTTTAGTTGTATATATTAATCTATATATCTGAACAGGTAAAATACAAAAATAAAATAAAATACGAAATCGTATAAATATCAATTATCAACAATATCAATTATCATCATTATCATCATCGATTATATAATATAAATATATATATAATATAAATAATATAAATATAATATAAATCAATACGAAAATCCGTCAAATAAAATACGCTAATGGTGAATATCAGTCCTATTGAGATCCAATCGCAGTCAAATAATTCGCAGGCTTTTCGCTTACAAAAGATCCCTGTTCAGTCTTTTTATGTGTAATCATGGTTGTTTGAATGAGAAGATTAACTCTAGTTGACAGGACGTATTTCAGATTTGAGTCGGTTCTGCGAAATTTCTATCTTCGTTATTGTACGGGAAGGAAATAGAATTGTCTTTTGGAGAAAACACAATTGTTGCATCACTTTCTTACCTGTATTCATCGAGATATTGCTCTGTCTAAAAAGTTTTGTTTTTGTTTTTTATTGTACAAAGAGTCAAAACTTGATGTTCATTACTCGAGCAAAGCAACAACAAATCAAGATTCTCTTAGAGGTTGCTCGAAGAGAATATCGAAAAAATAACAAAAGGAATGATTTTGAAAGAAAAAGAAAATAGAAACAGAAGCGTCTTTTCCAAAAATACTCTAAGATGACGCATCGGAAGCGTTTTGTTGCATCCCTTCATAGTCTACGTATTGGATCTTTGAAATAAGCGTTGTCATTATAACGTTTATTTTTTCGTCGGAAGCGTCATCAGGCATACCACGCAGAGTTTCCGCCACAAAGTTACCTTAAAGTCCGATACTTCTTTTATAGTTAATTTTTAAATTTTAGCAAGCTCACCAAAGTGCGTGTATTTGTCCATGCTTTGAATATTAGCTACCTGTTTTTTGACGGCGTCTACGGCTTCGAAAATGGCACTTTGCTCCTAAAAGTGAAATGACATATTGTGCCACATAAAACCGATTTCACCTTCAATGCCGGTTCGGATTTTTTTCGCGGGCGTTCTTTTTTCATACAAAGGTCTCTTCCCGAGCAACTGTACAGGAGCCCCAGACTGATTTTCTTGTGATCTTCTTTCATAGCTTTGTACCAGAACTTAGTTTATTATCACCGCTTATACGCGCTTAAGTCTAGCGAAAAGTTACCATTCTCATCACCATCTTCTTCTAAGTCTACATTTGTCATTCGCACGCTGAATTGCAGAATTTGATGGAGATATTTGTATTTTGAAACATTCTGAGAAATGTAGACTATACCTCTGACAATTCGCAACATCTAGATATGACAATAGCTTATAAATCCCTTTAGGTTTAACTGCGGGAGAACCCGTGCGTAGATTTTGGAAGCGCTTATGTGCGCTTCGCATTGATTTCCACTTGACTTTCAAATCTTCTACTGAACAGATACTTGCAGCTCATTTCAACCCTTTTCATCCACTCACCATCGCAGGCATAACCTCTTTCCAAAAGGTTGTCATTTATGTCTGACCATGCTTGGTTTCTCGCAGCGTTGTCGTGGTATGAATCGGAAGTTGGATCCCAGAGGTATGATTTTTTTCTACTTGCATTGCCAACGCTTCGCGGAAGGTAAAACTCATTTTGACTAAAATACAGTCATGTCTCAAAAGCAAATGAATCACGCAAAAAATTAGTACAGTCAAGGCGTAGGGTCCTACCATGACGCCGTGTCTTGAAGGCAACGTCCACCCTAAGTTGAGGGTCTTGAGCTTTTGGCAGCTTACGATAGTAGGGTCCTTCAACAAGGTGATGCCCAAGTCGCGGCGCAAAATGTCACTTCGGAAGCGAGAAGACGGCTTAGAAATAGCGAAGAGGCATGAGGACCCCAAATGGCACCGCCCTCCCTAACCATGCCCGTGCATTCGTGCGCGCCCATCTAATCACCGTTCCAAAATGCCGGCCTATGTTTTCTCCGGAAGGGGAATTGTCGGAGTTTTCACGGATTCCCAACTTCATATTCGGGATCAGGGACATGAGAAGCCCCCTGAATCGACAAAATTGTGAAGGACAAGAATGTGTGGACGATGCCTTCAAACGGGCTGCCCTCGGACAACTACTGCAGCGGCTCTTGCCCAATTACGCTTGGCTATTGAGTGTGGCGTCTAAACATCAGCGGAAGTGCATCAGGCGAGCCTCGCCCATGGGTCTGTCACTAACGGTGGTCGGACGCCTATATGGTCTCACAATTTCAGCGGCGGCTTGCGCACCTATACAGACGATTGGTAAATCAACACCGGCCCGCTCATTTCCATGAATTAAGAAACATTGCAGGTGATCATGCTCACCAGCCGGTGAGGTCGGTCGAAAAAAAAATGAGAAACACTCTCACACCGGCAACACCTTCAACACTTTCAACACTTTCAACACTTTCAACACCGGCAACACTTTCAACACTTTCAACACCGGTAACACCTTCAACACTCGGTAACACTTTTAACACTTTCAACACTTTCAACACTTTCAACACTTTCAACACCGGCAACACTTTCAACACTGGCAACACTGGAAACATCGGCAACACGGGCAAAGTATGGCCAAAGCCTTCATTTGCAATCAAAAGCTTTATGAAGACCTAGGGATGCATACATCACCTGGGGTGGAATCTACCCTGCCTGCCGGCAGGTCTTGCCCTCCCTCAACTCGTCGCGATCTCGTCCTCATGTCATGGAAAGCAACGCCCTTTTGAGCTTCCCCAAAGCAATCATTTTGGCACCCTTCATGTCTGACTGCCCAGCTTAGAGCTGAGCACCAGATGGAGATCTTAAAAAATCCGAAAAATCTCGACAACTTCAAATTTTGGGCTTACAAGATTGACCTGCCGGCAATCTCATGAGCTATTTTGTCGAGATTTATGCCGGCATCTCGCCCTCAACCTGCCGGCATCTCGCCCTCATGTGCAGAGAAAGGAAAATATGCATATTGAGGAGTGCAACCTGCCGGCATCTCGTCGTGTCCCTACCACGTCCAGATGCCAGCAGCTTCATGACATAGCTGTGATTTTGTGTGGATTTTCGGATTTTTCGGACAATTTCTTTATTCAATAATTTCCATGTTCCGTTTTCTTTAAACCTGGGCATTGCTTATAATCTTCAACTGTTTTAGGATCCTCAACCAACAGTCGCAATACATCCGGCTTACTCGCGAAAAACCACGAGAAGGGTGGCTGCCTTACCTAAACACGCTGGTCAAGTTAAGCAATGGCATCGTAACAATGAAGTGGTATCGCAAGAATAGTTGTAAAAACATCCTCATTAATGCAAAGTCTGCACACCCCATGAGCACTAAACTAGCTGTGATCGGCAATATGTTTGAAACAGCGACGATGGTGTGCACCGGAGAGGATGAACGCCCCGAAGCGCGATATCTAACCTCACAGATCGCCCGCAGTAATGGCTATGCAATTTCGGCGCAAACGCAACGTCACAATCGTCAACAGCGTTCACGCAAGGACCGCACTCGAATCGAAAACAAACTCGCACTCTGCCTCCCGTTTATTTCAGATAAAGTCAGCTCTGCCTTCCAACAATGCATTTCGCGGGCACAGCTACTAGACGATGTTGTTTTGGTTAACATACCGAACGACAACCTTAAAAAGCAGCTTGTCCGTAATCGCCTTTACGATCGACAATGTATAACGGAGAATTGCATGGTGTGTCCATACAGCAGAGAAGGTGACTACGCCAGGGTGGGAGAAGTATACCAACTCGAATGCCTCGAATGCAAAGCAAAATATATTGGCGAAACTGGTAGAGTGTTAAGCGTACGCTTTAAAGAACATCTGGCAGGCAGGAGACGGAAGAGTTTAGTAAGCCTATTGGGCAAACACAGGAGTGACGCGCATGAGGGAAATGATTTTGCAGTCAAATGCAAAATTTTGGCTTTTGAAACAGATATTACGGCTAGGAAGATTCTAGAGGTTTTCTGGATATCCGCAAAGACTCCAGAACTGAATAATAAGAATGATTGCCTGTCTATAACCGCCGAGTTTCTGCCGTATATGCCACTGTGTGAGTTGCAGATAGTGGATAGCGTCTTGATGCGCATTCTACTGTATCACTCACTTGTCCGTCAACTTTTGTCACATTCAGTCGTACGGACATTTCGAATAGCGATGGTGCGAGGGTGAATATATCTGTCTTGAGAGTTTTTGCGACGCGAAGTCGGAATGAAGTCGAAACTGGCTGAGTTAGAGGAGATATCTGGTGGTCTGGTATTACGGATGATGCCTTGAGCCGTTTTCAGGCCTCTGAGGACGACGAAAGCGTCGAAACGTTAGGCCAGTATTAATAAATCTGCCACCATAACAAACCTGTAAGGCACAACAGAGTTGAAGATTATAAGCAATTTCTTTATTTTTATGACTTCTTCTTTGTAGTCCAGGCATGCTTATGACCCGAAACGCATAATAAATATAGAAAATTGTTGGGACGATAAGCTTTGCTCGGTTGCTGAGACAAACAACGTTCATAGGTTTTTCTATTCACGACTCCGGCCTTCGTTTTTGCGTGTCATATCAATGTATGTGCCAGTCTGTAGCGAGTTTTTTTTTGAAGGTTCTTCCATGTTTATTGCTTTCTTATGTCAGTCGGTACGCTGTTCACAGATCCATCTCATCTATTTGATAAAGGAGTTCACTCTCAATTCGCTTTTTCTGCATCTAACCTCCCACATATTTATGTCTAAGTTATGTGCGAAAGAGACGGAACACCGATGTTTCTCTCTAACTTTTGCATTTCAGGCTTGTGGAAGTCTGGCTTGGAAAATGAGCTTTGTGTCATCTTGACGATCTAAGTACCGGTAAATTGATCTTAAAAAAGTAAGTTGCTTTTTCAGGCTTTGAGTTGCCTCTTTCAGAGACTTTCATATCGCGCCAGCAGCCGCCGCTAGCCGTCTGCAGCCGTTGTTGAGCACTATTTCAACATTCGGGCTTCAAAACCGAAACCATGGCCTTGGGACACTGAGGTAAGGAGCTGCTACAGGAGGCTAGTGCCGGCGAGTTTTGAAAGCACACTCAAGTTTCAATCAGCTGATAGAGTACTTAAGAAATATCAGAGAATGACGAACAAACACACCTCGCGCAAAATTCTTTTGTCCGAAACCAAATAGCCCCTACTTTTCAAGAAATTTCTGCCTTTGTTCCAGCTATGCGCAGAGTCTTTTCATTTCTATACAGTTGCACGTTGCTGTTCATGTTTTCATCAGCATATGAATTTCTCAAGTTTATCACCATGTTTCGATTATTCTCTTGTCGGCTCAGATTCTTCTATAGATTCGATTCATGGTATTCTACTATAGCATCACATCACCATAGGTTGGAAAAATGGCTGTGATTGATGACTTGCGATTCGGCCAATTCGCCACTTTCACGCGACTTGGCGATTTGCCAGATTTCTACAAATTTATCGTGCGCGCTTTTCGGACGCATATTTGGGTAGCTTGTGTAAGTTGTTGCAAACCGAGCAAGTTCAGACCAAAGGCAGCGCATTAACGACGAATTATGGAGAGTCGCTTTTGTGCCGAATCGCGCAGCGACCGGAATCGCTCGAGGTATGCCTTAGGCCTAACAGCATGTGAGCTTCTTTCTTGTTCCATTAGGCGGCTTGTTAGGCGGGTTGATAGGGTTCCGGCGCGGTCTGAACGTTCCCTAAGTGTCACAGATCTACCAACTCGGACCTCCTGCCTTGTGCTCAAAGGCCCCATTTAAATCTACACAGTCGGCTGCGCGGGCGGTCGCGTCGCGCGCGCAGCTTTTGTCACCGGGTCGCGCTTGGTGGGTCACATCATGATGACACTCATGCCAGAAAACCACTTCATGCTTTCTTCGAGAAATTCACTCTAGCGGTGAGAATAATAGTGCTGCATTCTTATATTTGACACTGTCACCGACTTGAAGAAGAGTGTGAAGAGTTTATACATCTGCAAGCAAAATGGAGTGATAGTGGACCGAGCTCTCGGCCGACATCTGTGTGATTTTGTTCTTGTTTTCTTTGTTAAGTTATTTGCTCATCTAAGTTTAGGCTATGCCAACGAGATCAGATAGCATGTTTCAAGAGTCAAGAATGA